CCTTAAAATCTTCTGATTAAGAAAGTGAAATTTTCTTTTTGATGCTGCAGCCAAGTGTGAAAGTCGCAGCTTCCGTTTCAATGTTACATAAAATGTAAGATGCGGTTTGTCAGACTGAGGTGGCTTGCACATTGCTGTGATACTGTCAGCTATGCCACTGGGATTTCAGATAGCAAGCCAGGTGGACAGGCTTCAGAGGAGCTTCCAGATGGGGACAGAACAGGAAGAAAGGCCTGGTGATCAACTTGGATAAATGCGCCAATGAAACTCCTATGGATCACAACAGATTTCCGTCCCGTATGTGCTAGAAGGCGAGCCCCCTAGGTTGGAAGGCCCTACACAGTGATGGAAACAATGGGCTCAACATTGCCAACCTTTGATGAAGATGCCACAAATCCAGGCAACATTTTGCTCTGTTTTGCAGAGATCTATCATCAGGAGCTCTGGTAGCACAGTGGTTACGAATCGGGCTGTGAACTGCACGGTCAGCAGCTCGAAACTACCAGCTGTTCCGGCGGAGAAAGATGAGGCTTTCTGCTCCCACAAAGATTTACAGCCTCAGAAACTCTGTACAGGGCCACTATGAGTCGGAACTGACTCCACGGCACATCACCACCATCACCATGAATCAGAGACAACTTGAGTCCAACGAACGGCAACAGTGCAAATCAGAATCTTACCAAGGGTCCATAAAGGGGTCTCCCCAAATCCTGATGCTAAGATGACTAAGTCACTCCTGAGGAGCCCTCTTAGCAACTGGTTACAGAATTGGGTGGTTGTTAGGGGAGAGAACCGGCTTCCATATGCAGAACAGCTATGGAAGTCCTATGGAACGGTGCCTATAGGCTATGAGGTGGAATTGACTCGAAGGCACAGGTTTGATGGGACACTGGAGACGATTATAACCAGACCCTCGTTTAGGAAGATTTTCTGGGGCAGAGAAAAAGACAGGCTGTGGGGAGAAGTAACTTGTCACAGATCAAAGAGGAGCAAGGAGGAGCTTGTGGAGTCCAGGGGCCTTGGTGGGTCATTGCCAGCTCTCAGTTCTGCCTGGCCTCCTGGTTAGATCTGGAAGCAGGGTGAGGATTGGGGGTGATGAACGCAGTGTTGTATACAACTGGTGCCAGGTGTATAGGGATCATGCAGGTGGAGAAGGGCAACGAGCAGGTGAAAGGATTATATAAAAGAGGACTGTGCAGAGATGCTCAGCTCCATATGGAATGAGTCAGAGAAGGGGAGGCTTTTGCTTAATAATGAAGACCATGTAACTGTCACTCAAACATTCTGAAAGAAGCCTTAAAGGCTAGAGGAGTTGAAACTGTCTGTCTGGCCACAACTGGGGACCTAAAGCTGAAGGGCAGCTTTGGGAACTGGATTTAAGCTCAACCTTTCCAAGAATCAAGTACCCATGGTGGTGCAGTGGTTAAGCACTGGACTGCTAACTGCAAGGTTGGTGGTTCAAACCCACCAGTCACTCCTCAAGTAAAAGGTGAAGCTGTCTTCTCCTGGCAAACTTTATAGTCTTGGAAACCCTAGGGAGCAGTTCTACTGTGTCATAGAGAGTCACTGAGTCTGAATTGACTAGAGGACAGAGGCTTTGGAGTTCCAAGAGTCAGCACTAGGGGAAGATGGAATGGGTGTGGCTATGGGGTGGGAGTATCGGGTATCTGGGAAAGAGAGTTCAGCTGCAGGCAGAAAGCCTGCTCTTCCTACCGCTTCAGGAAACCCTGGTGGCTCTGCTGCTACAAAGCTTCTACTGATAGTCTGTTCACACAAATATTTTTTTAATCAAACTATATATTTTTTCATGTCTTTTTTAAAAAAATTGTAGCAGTATCTATACAATAAAACATTTGCTATTTCAACCCATTTTTACATGTACAATCCAGCCACAATAAGAAAACTCCCCCATGTTCCCATAGATTTCAACCTAGGAAACCCCATGAGGCAGCTCTACTCTGTCCTATAAAATTGCAACAGATTTTCCTAGTCTTGTTTCCTTCGTTCATTTCTTCTATATCCCTCATCATATCACAACTGTCTTACTCCACAAGGTTGGAGATTGAATCCATTTCAGCTGTTTCAAGAGGTGGCATATGATCAAGAGCCAATGATTCTGAAGGAAGAAGTCCAAGGTGCATTGAAGGAATTGGTAAAAATAATGATAATAATATTAGACATTGAAAGAATACAATTGAAATCTTTCAACAAACTGATGTGGCACTGGAGACACTCACTTATCTATGCTAAGAAATCTGGAAGACAGCTACTTGGTCAATTGACTGGAAGAGATCTGTATTTAGGCCCATTCCAAAGAGAGGTGAGCCAACGGATGCGGAAATCATTGAACAATATCACTGATGTCCCATACGAGTAAAGTTTTACTAAAGGTGAAATGGCTGCAAGCATACATTGACAGAGAACTTCCAGAGCTTCAAGACAGATTCAGAGGAGGACATGGAATAAGGGATATCATTGTTGACATCAGATGGATCTTGACTAAAAGCAGAGAATATCAGAAAGATGTTTACTTGTGCTTTATTGACTATGCAAAGGCTTTTGATTATGTGGATCATGGCAAGCCATGGACAACATTGAAGAGAATGAGCATTCTGGAAATTGTGCTCATGAGGAACCTGTACATAGACCAAGAGGCTGTTGTTTGAACAGAATAAGGGAACACAGAAATGTTTATAATTAGGAAACGTGTGTGCCAGGGTTGTACTCTTTCATCATACTTATTCAACCTGTATGCTGAGCAAATAATCCAAGAATCTGGATGATATGATGAAAAACGTGGCATCAGGATTGGATGAAGTCTCATTAATAACCTGCGATATGCAGATGATATAACCCTTGATTGCTGAAAGTGAAGAGGACTTAAAATACTTACTGATGAAGATCAAAGATCACAGCCTTCAGTATGGGCTTCACCTCAGTGTAAAGTAAACAAAAATTCTCACCACTGACTGAACCAATAAACAATATCCATATAAATGAAAAAAAGATTGAAGTTATCACATCATTTTTCTTGGATCAACCATCAAGATTCATGGAAGAGCAGTCAAGAAATCAAATGAAGTTTTGTGTTAGGCAAATCTGCTGCACAAGACCTTTTTAAAGTGTTGAAAAGCAAAGATGTCAGCTTGAGGACTAAGGTGCGCCTGACCCAGGCCATGGTATTTTCAGTAACCTCATGTGCATGTGAAAGCTGGACAATGAATAAGGAAGACCGTATAATTGATGCATTTGAGCTGTGGTGTTGGAGGAGAATATTGAAAGTGCCATGGACCGCCAGAAGAAACGAACAGATCTGTGTTAGAAGCGCAGCCAGAGTGCTCCTTAGAAGCCAGGATAGTCAGACTTCCTGTCACACTTCGGGCATATTATTAGAAGGGACCAGTCCCTGGAGAAGGATATCATGTTTATTAAAGTGCAGGATTGGAGAAAAAGAGGGAGACCCCCAACAAGATGGAGTGGCACAATGGCGGCAGCAATGGGCTCAGGCATAGCGCAATGCTTGTGTGGTTGGCGGGACCCGGAAGTGTTTCGTTCTGTTGTGCATAGGGTCACGATGATTCGACAGCACTTCACTACAAGGAGTTCCGGTGACTCCAGGGCAGGGGGACTAGATAATAACATCAGGTGTAGATTCCAGAACTCAGTATGATCCGCAGGGAACTGGAGGAGATTTCAGGCACTTTCTCCTCCTCCTGTACCCCCAAACCTACCCTAAGTCGGTTGGAACCTCAGGGTGCTTGTCCTGTCACAAGATCTTCCTGGGAGAGGCCTACGCACTGACAGGGTCAGACGTGTGTGGGCCGGGGGCTTCCGACCTCACTCTCTCCCTGAGACTGAGGCCACTTCCCGCGGGGACGCATTCCTCTGAGGCTGGCCCCAAAGCTGCACAGGGTGCCTGGCACAAACGTGATGAAGGTTAAAGGGCGCGCTCGGGAAACGGTGGCTTCATCTGTGCCGTCCAAGTACATCTTTGCGATCCACTCGTCAACCGCGTAACTGGGGCGGCTGGAGGCGACCGCAGAGAGGCGGCGGGCAGGCAAGGCCCAGCCACTGTCCCCACTTTTCCCCAGGCAGGCGGGGCCGGCAGAGGTCCAGCCCCGGGGCGCGCCCCGCCCCCTGCGC